CACGTTCTCCCGTTCACACAATCTCAGCTGATGTCAGTCAGTATTGTCAACGCGTAACTTTATTCTCCTCTCCATCTTCAGACTCGATCTCAGTGACATGTACAGATTCAAGATATGGGCCCAAGCTACACCTAACTGTTACTTTGGGACACTCTGCATACGTACAACTGGATTGCCACGTGCAGTCCTTTGATATTTTGGCCAAGCTTTCCATGCACACCTTGCTTCAGTGCCTGGATAAGCCTCAGCCTCTTCCTCGTCAGCGTTGTCCACGCGCACCTGGCCTCCACTTTCAACAAGCACTTCACTCCGCTTTCAGAGGCTTAACAACTGCGGTGATCCTGGATCCCTTACGGCAAGAGAGCCGGTGGTTCAAGCCATCCAATCAAACAGCCCTCCTCACTGTTTAAGTTAAGTGTGTCATATATGACCTGTCTTCTAACTGATTCAGTGCTGCAGACAAACATTATCACTGCATCATTAATGTGAAGTGATTTATTTCATTCTCCTGTCTCCCCTCGCTTCAATGGGAAAACAATTACCGTAATACTGAAATAGCAGTGGGCCTTGTTTTTCAAAAGTTATTGGGTTTCATCAAAGTAAGCATATTAAGCAGGCACATTATGCCCTCTGCTTCACAATGGTATTGGCTCATTTCAAGCAAAGCTAGTTGTTCTCTTTCATCTTCATTCATAAAATAAATAAATTCACATATGTATTATGCCGTTATCTTACCACACTTCCTGTATCATTTAAATTAAAAGCCCCTCAGCGATTTCTTCGGTGTGGGTTTATAGGTGACCGCCATAGAATATACTATTATCAAGCACAAACACAAACGCACTCATTTATAGTTCTTGTATTTACTCACTTTCCTCTACTTTTAGGAAAGGCAGTGTAGTTTGCATGTGTGTCTTTGTATCTGCTCTCACATCAGCTGTTCATCAGGTGGCAGTTCTATAAATCTGCTAATATTTTACATCTTACATTCACTGAGTTATAGCGTATAGTTAGTCTCTATATGAATAAGTAATTAAATGAATGTTTTAAATGGATAAATATTTTTAAAAAATTATCAAACAAAATAAGAATTAAAGATAAATATATAAATAAATAATATAACATGGGCAATAACTGATCATATGTGTATAGTTAAAGCAGAATGAACAGAGTTCACATTTAAGTGAGTCAAGGACAGAGGGATGCTGTGTGTTGGAAGCCCTCTAAGGTAACTGAGATCGTGATATCGGTATTCATAGATCAACTTCTAATTGAATCGATATTACTAATTGTTCAGTCCCTCCAGGATTGGGCTACAATGAACTTGTCTGACTAATCTGTAAAGCATTTTGGGTTGCCTCTGTGTTTGAAATGTGCTATAAATAAATCTGCCTTGCCTTTCCTAGACAGGTTTTGAAATTTAAAAATACATAAATAAACAACAATACATTTTAAAAAAAAAATTGACAAGTTTTCCTTTCATTTTGTGTCCTCTTTTTTCGAACTCTACCTGTTTAATTTGAATTTCTTGGCTAGTTCTCTCTGCTCGACTTCATATTCCCCAGAGGATAAGTCTCATGGCTTCTATCGCAGTGTCATCCTAACCTCCATCTGCCTGCTGAATTGTCATTTGTCATATGCACAGTAAATCAGAAGCAGCCATTGGCAAGTCTTGGGCTCCCTTCACATTGGTAAATTAACACGCACATTAAGAAATAGGCTATCATGTAAACAATAATTCAAGAAATTCTAACATTATCACGCAACAAAAATAGGGAAATACTATATAACTTATACATACTTCAAATCAAACAGCCCATTAATATATTTGATAAGGCATAAACGGCACGTAAATACAGTAATAAAAAGGTAAAGTCTGAATATTTTGGTCAGCATCAAGCAATGAACTCCTGCAGATGAAGCCGCCCTTAGTGGTGTGGGACTGGATGCAGGCACATCGTGGTCATGATGGCTGGGGCTCAATCATCCTGCTTGCTCTTTCCTACGCCACCGATTGAAGCGGTCCTCACAATGGCAGCCGTTTTCTCAACCCTCGCGTTGTTTTATAATTGTCACGTTTTCAGACTGACTGCAGGTCAGTGTTAATAACACACTGCTCAGTTCTGGTAATCACGGTTCCCGGTTACAAACAGTTTATTGTAATTTTGAGTTACCTTTTTACAATTATATCCATCACAGATTCACTAATTCAATGACATCATCCATGACTCAGTGCCCGAAACGCGTGTCAGTCCGTGTCATGTAGAGTAGACTGTGGGGCAGCCTCTTATCAGCCTGACTATTTCCTGATCTCTCGCACATTGAGGGCATGCACAGTAGTTGGTAACTCATTTTAAGCTCAGCAAGATGGCCACTCGCATGCGGATAGCATCACTGTGCCATAGATGTTCCATCTGCATATAGCAGTGATCCAGAGCGTTTTTCTTCTACTGCCTACAGGGGAAATACAGCTGGTCAGTATACTCTCAAAGATGCCCATGTAATCTCTAATCCATCTAGCGTTGAATTTCCCCATCAACTGTTGGTAGTATCTATTAGGGCTGGGCAATATGACGACTATGTACAATATATCGATATATTTTCAAGCAAGATATCGTTCATCAAACAGCAAAGTCATTACCTACCAAATAAAGCCAGTAGCTTGGCCATTTGACCTTTTCCAAACTGTAATTGGCCACTGGCGACTCTATTTCAATCATCATAACTCTAAAGTGTAGCAATAATTGCCAGGGCAGAATTTTTCTACTATTAGCGGATAAGCAAAGTACTCATGGATATGTTCATCCGTGGGTTTTGGGGGTTTCAGGTATGGCCTAATATTAGCACTGTTTCATAAATTAAGTTTCTGTGCCCTAATTTCTTGCTAAGTCATTCATACAGCTGGTGGTGGTCTTTTGTGGTTTTCTCATCTGCTACCTCTCAATCAAGTCTTGGTCATTGTTAGTCCCTGCTATTGCCCACCTTCATATTTGATGGAGTCACAGTCAGGCATCAGCCATTTGCTATTTCTGTCTGGTTGTCACTGCTATTTTGTCTTTGCTAACTTTATTTGCTTGCTGCTAAGACCTTTTTTCTTTGCACTCGTTAATATGATTCCAATCCTGTCTGCCTCAATTCAGTTTGGCTTGCTGTCATTTACCACCCATGGTCTAAAGGATCTCATGCAGTATGCACAGTCATCCATGGTCCTCGAAGTATATGCTGCATACACGAACACCAGCTTGTCTGCTAATTGCTCACCTTTATCACTTCAGAATCCACAATCATGCATCACCTATGGTTATTTCATCTTGGTTATCTAATCACAATTTCTGTCTTTGCTGATTTCATATCTGCTGGTCTTGGACCTATTCTGCTGCACTTGCTTATTCAGGTTGGTCATAAATTAATGTAAACGTATTGGTTCAATTCGGTTTATTTTGCTTGCATTCATCATGCTGTTCACTCAGTTTATATGGTCTTCGGGACCTGATGCAAATGCACTATCATGGTCTGCGGGACTTCATGCTGTATGCACAAACACCCAAGGTCTTCAGGACCGCTCGCTGTATGCTCATAGGTGATCCGTTGGACCCCATGCAACACTTATTTTTCGTGCGACCATTAATTTCTGTATGTCATGCAGACTTAATTTCTGTTAGGTCATCAGACCTCATTTTACTTCCACCATTTTATTTTAGTTGGTCTTATGACCTTAGTTTCTGTTCAATCTATGACCTTTTATTCAGTTTGGTCTTCACTGACCTTTTGTTTTGTTCTACACATGGTCTAGGACCCCAGGCTGTATACCCAAGGTCTGCAGGACCTGATGCTCATACACGGTATTCTTTGTTTGGTCGTCAGACCATAATTTCTGTTTGTTTCTGTTGTTTAAGTTGGTATTATGACCTTAGTTTCTGTTCAGTCTTATGACCTTTTATTTCTGTTTGGTCCTCATTGACCTTTTATTATGTTCTACATATAGGCTCCAAGGTCACTAGGGCCTCACACCAGTCACGGTATTTTCAGTTTGGTCATAGGACCTTCAATTTCTGTTCCTGACTTAATTTATGTTTGGCCGTTGGACCTTAACATTTTTTCAGTCGGTCCTTATTGACCTTTTATTATGTTCAACATATGGACACCCACGGTCTGCAGAACCATGCACTTTTTTCAGCCTTCCTTTCTAGCACATCACCATTAATTCTGCCGTCACAGCTTACTTCATGTCTGGCTTTTATATTATTTGGTGGTTAGACTGCAACATGTTTCCCTACTGCCACTTTCTTTTTCCATGCTTATTTTGGATCTTTCATCATCTTCTAGTTAGTGGCTCCCTAGCTGTCATTCCAGACTTATTCCTACCACACATTTCTCATCAGAGTTGTATTTTCTCATTCGGGGCTTATTTCAGTCATATACTTTACTATGCACACATCCATTTGAAGGAACACTTACCTTTCTGGAAATTTTACACTTTTCTTTGTTTAGGTTAATACACCTAAACACCTAATACAGTCACCGAGGAGTGAGGGACTGCTGCGTCCTTGTGTTCACTGAGACATGGATGAATGGTAACATATCAGACTCCGGTGTTGAGCTAACGGGGCTAACACAACACAGAGCAGACAGGGAGGCTGCATCATCTGGTGAGCTCCGTGGTGTATACACAAACAATTAATGGTGCTGTGATGTGAAGAGGATCTCCCAGTTCTGCTCTCAGGATGTGGAGTTTTTGACTGTGAAATGTCGACCCTTTTCATCTTACTATTGCACTATATGTTCTTTCTTATATGTTGCACAAATTGTTTTCATATGTTTTGTTTCTTTTTGTTTGGGGTATTCGAAATGTCATTTCGTTTTTGTGCTGCGCATAAAAATGACAATAAAGAAGTTCAGTTCAGTTCAGCTCCCTATTCGACTATGGATTCATCACCCTCCTTAAATCATACCATCTCCATGGGGTCTAATCGCCAAAGATTTTCCACTTTTTTTCATTCTTTTGTGCACATGGTAATAAATATTCTTTTTACTAAAAAAAAAACAAGTCTCTCCTGATTGAACTGCTGTTACTGTGAAGAAGTGAGAAAATGCAGGTTAGCCCTGATCATTTATCAGAAACAGCATCTCCAAAACAAGACATGGAATCAGTTTAAAATATTACAAGGAGTATGCAGCATGACCTTGTTGTTATTATTATCACTGACTGACTTCTTTATGAAAGCTTGAATTGAGTTTGTTAGGCTACATTGTAAGCAAAAACACCCCTTGCTCCTCCGCATTTCTGTCACCAGTAACCACACCAAATCAACCAGAACTAAAATCATAAGGATTACAACTTGGTATGTGTGTGTGTGTGTGTGTGTGTGTGTGTGTGTGTGTGTGTGTGTGGTGTTTAACTCTTGATCTCCAGGATGGAGGGGTTATGGTCGAGAATGGCCAGAATGATTTTGTCCATGTACTGCCTTAGACGCAGGTTGATCTCTTCCTGCTCCTTCAAAGCATCCACCAGCTGAGAGACACAGAAAATGTGTTAGAAGAGCAGTCATATCAAACATCAGCATTACACCCATCCACCAGCAGCACACTAACCTCGTCCCTGGATGCGTTGTCAATCTCAGCTGCCAGGCACTGGGCCTTGGTATGACAGGCAAACAGATTCTTAGCTTCGTACAAACTCAGACTGAGAATTTGAGCATTCAAGTCATCATTCTGATCCCGCAGCTTATGGTTCTCCTTAGGAAAGACAAAAAAACAGTTCCTTTCAAAGGAGATTGTGGATGAAACCCTTGACTTTGTGTAGTACGGTTACAAAAGGTATTAAATATAGTGAAGTCAACCCTAAAAGCAATTTTGAGTTTTCATCACTGTCTCACAAAATGCTTAGTTAGTGAACTGTGTCGTGGACCTCATGCTTCTTTAAAGGAATATCACTGAGTAACATGCAAGAAAACGTTCCACCTTATAACTTGCCAAAAGATGCTGGCAGTAGCCTTTGAGGGGCTCAGTGAGATTAATTATTTTTTCCAAGTCTATAGCTGGCAACTGGAGGTGCAAAGTTTTTATTTTTTATTTATTTTTTACTTTATTTTATAGTTACAGTTGACCAATATATGTAAACTTGCCACTGTAGGAACAGTGGTTACAGTCCATTGTAGTCTGAGTAAGAGTGTTGATTCTCTATTGTGATCAATTGACAGACTGCCATGTTTCTAGCTCCACTTTTTAGTATCAGATCAGTGAGGTAGGTACCTCAACAGAGTTGTGATAAAAAAAAAAGTGTTACGCAATGGAACAGTTGTATTGGTACCACCCTGAATTTTAATAATAGAAACACAAAAATAATTGTTCTAATGTGCAACCAACTAAACTGAACTGACCCACACTGCTTAAATATCAAGCTACAGCCATAAAGCTAGCAACCATAAAAACTGTAAACAGCTAGCCTGGCTCTGTCCAAAGGTAGCAAACTCCATCTACCAGCTAGAAATCACTGATTAACACATTAAATCTTTATTGTTTGATCTGTATAAAAGTGTAAAAACAACACTTTTTTGAAATATGTGCAGAAATATTTCTTGGCTGGGTGCAGACTTGTTTCTAGTTTTTTCATTACTGGTGATCTCACCAGCTGTCCTCCTCGCAGGCTCTGGATTTGTGGCAGTGCATGCACAACTATTAATTAATAAATAATTAATTAATAACAATGTAGGGGAAAGTCCCTGCATGTCTTGAAAGGAGACATTACAACCTTCAAGTTCAAGACCAACTCTTCTTCAACCCTACAGGAATGACGACCAACAAGACATAAGGGAGATTTACACTATCTGGCAAACAAAAACAATCAAGATCCCCGTTCACCTACATGGGTACTAAACCAGACCACTGACCCAAACAACCATGAGCCTTCAAGATCTCCAAAAGCCAGCTGTTAGTACTACTTGGCTAAACGTTCCCCCACCATTGGCCATTATATCACCTCCAACAGCCAGTCACCCACAGAAACAAGCTGGTGCCAAATTTGATCCCACTGTGAACTCTGATCTCTACTTAAATGTAGTTTGGATTTTATTTTAGGACAGGTAATACAGTGTATTATGTGTGTGTATATCAGAATATGTGCTTTCCTTAGTTAGACTTTCATCCCACTGCCTTTTAGCTAGGAAGTGTACAGCATTCAGCGGTTGAACCGGTCTGTCTCTGTCCCCCCAGAACTCTGCAATCTGTGTGATTGACCAGGATGCATCTTGTGGGTGGGCAGACTTAAAGGGCCAGTGTGTAATATTTGGTATGGTTTATTGTCAATCTGAATCTGAATCTGAATATTCTACCCATTATGTTTATACAAGTGTATAATCACTATAAAATAAAATTTGTTTGGTTTTCGTAGCTTTATAATTATGCTTTTATATACAGTACAGGCCAAAAGTTTGGACACACCTTCTCATTCAATGCGTTTTCTTTATTTTCATGACTATTTACATTGTAGATTCTCACTGAAGGCATCAAAACTATGAATGAACACGTGGCGTTATGTACTTAACAAAAAAAGGTGAAATAACTGAAAACATGTTTTATATTCTAGTTTCTTCAAAATAACCACCCTTTGCTCTGATTACTGCTTTGCACACTCTTGGCATTCTCTCGATGAGCTTCAAGAGGTAGTCACCTGAAATGGTTTTCCAACAGTCTTGGTGCCTTATCAGGGTTAATTAGTGGAATTTCTTGCTTTATCAATGGGGTTGGGACCATCAGTTGTGTTGTGCAGAAGTCAGGTTAATACACAGCCGACAGCCCTATTGGACAACTGTTAAAATTCATATTATGGCAAGAACCAATCAGCTAACTAAAGAAAAAC